TTCCACTGTTTGGCTAGATCAGGGCTAGAGCACATCCCTCTGTGCAACTGGTGGAGCCCTACTGGTTCCAGCCAGTGGAGGGATCAGGCACTGCCGCTGTGGCCCACCAGCCAAAAAAGTTGATCGCCACTAATCTAAAGAAACCACTTTACTTATACACTGTCTGCCTTCTGTATAACAGGTGTCTTGTGATCGATGAAGCAGATCGAATGGTTGAAAGGGGACATTTTTTGGAACTGTCTCAGTTGCTAGAGATGTTAAATGATTCGCACTATAATCCTCAGCGTCAGACTTTTGTGTTTTCTGCTACACTAACTTTGGTCCATCAGGCTCCCACAAGAGTTTTGCAGAAGAAAAATGCTAAGAAAGTAGACAGAAAGACCAAACTGGAAATGCTAATAGAGAAAGTAGGGATAAAGGGCAAGCCCAAAATAATCGACCTAACAAGGAAAGAGGCCACTGTAGAGACACTGACAGAAACCAGGATCCACTGTGACAAAGAAGAGAAGGACTATTATCTCTATTACTTCCTACTTCAGTACCCAGGAAGGACCATGGTTTTTGCAAACAGCATTGACTGCATAAAACGTCTCAGTGCTCTCCTCACAATCCTAGACTGTAATCCTCTGCCATTGCATGCAAACATGCACCAGAAGCAGAGGTTAAAAAACCTGGAAAGGTTTGCTGAGCAAGAGAGGTAAGTTGACTGATCTGGTGCCTAATGATAAGCAAAACTGGGTGAAAATTAAAAGGAAAAACCATTAAGGAAGAGGCATACAGTTGGTAGGGTGGTGATGAAGGGTTCAGGTGATTCTGTGGAAAGCAGCTGTTGGCTTCCAAGTTGCAGGGACTGGCACGCTGGTTGGTTGATGTGGGGAGGAAAGCCAAAAATGGAGTGTCCCATGGTGTCTTACCAGGTCAGTGTAGGTGCAGGAGTTGTGGGGAAGCTCACATGGCCATTGCTCTGGCTTCTACCTCAGGGCTCTATCCTGAGTACTTTCCACCAGCACTGGAGTAGAATACTATCCTCTATGTGCTTTTCATTATACAATCTCAGTGCCCCTTCTGCAGAGAAGGTCACTGACAGGAAAGCTCATTAAATTTAGAGGCCAGTTAGTTCAGTGGTTGGCATCCTTTTGCCACTGTGGGCCACTGCTTGTGACCCAGCCCCCACTGCCAGCTGCAGCCCCCAGCAATCAGCAGTTACTAGGATTCTAGAGGTGCTTTCCCTTCTGCAGCAGAGAAAAGAAACTGAACACAGCAACCAGGACCCTGGGGACCTCTTCTCTGGTGCTGGAGGATACTGACAATTCCCTGAGCTGCTGCAGGCTGAATCCAGTTTATTCATGAGCTGGATCCAGCCCTGGGGCCATAGGTTGCCAACCCCTGAGTTAGTCCAATGTCCTGTATAATGCGTACCACTGAGCTTTGCCCAACTAAATGTCTATTGAACTCTATACCCATAAATCGGTGGTTTTCAGCCAAGGTGCCTTGAGATCTTTTCAAGAATGCCATGGAGTGCCACACAGTGTTAGCATTGTTAAGTTTACAAACAAGTTTCCTAAGATAAACCCAGAGATTTCAAATAGAAATCGATAGCTGAGGTCTTTCTGAGTTCTTTGCTGCAAAAAGTTGCTCTACTATAATATTTCTGTAGTAAAAATGAGTGAAAACTAAGAGATGGCTTTTTCCATGGGGTGCCCTGAGTCTTATATAGGGGTCCCTCAAGTCTAAAAAGGTTGAGAACCACTGCCATAGATTGTGCAATGAGTGTCATAAAAGGGAGCTTGTGTTAAAATCTTGCCTGCTTGCAAGTAAGGTTTTGGCCTCTTTATTCATTTTTTGTTTTGCTTTGTTTTGTTTTTACCCCAGTTGGCTGCAGTTTAGAAAAGAACCCTACCAAACCTTGCAGAGGCCCCTGTCATTGTTATAGATTATTTATGTCCAAAAATGACCTTCCTGGAGTGCTCTTCTCTCTGTAACTTTTGCATGGAAATAACTTAGTGACCAAAACAAAAAATGGTAATTTTTTTCTTTCTTATAGCTCAGAATTGTCCAGTTGCAATATCTTCAGCAGGGATTCAGTAAAGCAGTATCATTACACGCTGCATTGCAGTATTCGTGACCAACAAAGCTGCAATAATCACTCAGGATACCTCATTATGACTGTATTATAAGATCATTTTAAATTCAGGAGACATTCAAACTCTGACTAGACAAAGCACTGGGACATAAGTCACCTTTCTGGCAGTGCAGGTGATCTGTTAGGCGTTTTCATTCTCTTTCCTGTGAAGTTGGGAGAGAGTAAAAGAATAGGTAGGCAGGACTTTGCTGGGTTTGCAGTTAAGGAAATTGTGCCATTGGCTTCATTGGGATTAGGTCCCCAGTCAATAACAATTGTATTATTTCTTTTTACCTAATACTGCACACTTGCAACACTGCCTTAGATCACATTTTTAGGTGTCAGTTTCTAGACTTCCCAATAGGTGGCATATTCATAGCATATATAGCCAACAGCTTTAACTACTTTGGCATCATTCTGGGTCACTCATGTTGCGTGTTCTCAGGCATCTGCTCTGTATTTCAGTGGTAGGTTAATGAACAGAACATATTCTGCCTTTTCTTTTTCAGCTGCATCCTCTTGACAACAGATGTTGCAGCTCGTGGCCTTGATATTCCTAATGTGCAGCATGTCCTCCATTACCAGGTCAAAAATAATTCTTCTGATGCTTTTACTGTCGTTTATCTCTCTTTTTTTTTTCCTTTGAAAGAAGGTCCAAAGCCTGAATACAATAGAAAGCTGTAATTCTCGATCCCAAGTAAGAATACAGGCATTAAGCATCAAGTGTCCATCACTAAAAGAGGGGATGTGCTATTTGGAATACACTGTAGATAAGAAGTTACCATGGCTATGACTCTTCATTTTTCTATCTTTGTTCCTAACTCAAGTGTCAGAGTCCTTCTCCAAAGGATTCAGGTGACTGCCTCACAGCACATCTGTGGCATTTCACTTCCTTATAGTTAGGGAAACTGAGATGTGGCAAGGGGTAGTGACATCCCAGAGATCATGCTGATGCAGGCAGAATAGGACGTGTCTCCAGATTCCCACCTTGTCCCCTCCTGTTTGTTATGAGCAGAGCTTGATGTGATAAAAGCAGTTTATCAGAAGATCTAGTACCTACCTTTGCAGTACGTTTCAGATACAAACCATTGTGATTTTTTTTTTTTTAATGGAAGTAATTAACTGCAATTTTTGCAGGTTCCACGGACTTCTGAGATTTATGTGCACAGAAGCGGCAGGACAGCCCGAGCTGCCAACAACGGCCTGAGCTTGCTGCTGATTGGCCCTGACGACATGATTAATTTTAGAAAGATCTATAAGACGTTGGAAAAGAATGACGATCTTGCATTTTTCCCTGTTGAAACAAAATACATAACTGCTGTCAAAGTAAGCAAATAACATCTTGCAATATAAAAGTTTGCTTCTGTATTTTAATTAATCCAATACCCTTCACATATTAAGATTTCAGAAATACAGACTAAGGAATGACAGGCTAGGCTGTAGTACTGCAGAGAAGGACCTAAGGGTTACAGTGGACCATAAGCTGAATATGAGCAAACAGTGCTCTTGTTGTAAGAAAAAACCCAGCAGCATACTGGGTTGTATTAACAGAAGTGCCACTTGCAAATCGAGGGAAGTAATTTTGCTGCTCTATTAGGCACTGGTGAGGTCACATCTGGAGTGCTGTGTCCAATTTTGGCCCCACGCTTCAAGAAGTATGTGGACACTTTGGAAAGAGTCCAGTGTAGAGCAACAAAAATGATTAGGGGCATGGGAGGCATGACTTTTATAAGGAAAGACTGAAAGAACCAGGGTTGTTTAGTCTGGAGAAGGGAAGATTGAGAAGGAATTTGGTAATAGTCTTCAAATCCCTGAATGGGTGATTTACAGAGAGAATGGAGATAGGTTTTTCTCTGTGGCCATAGGGGTAAGAGTAGGAGCAAATAACCTCAGGCTGCAGCACAGGAAATTTAGGTTGGAATTTAGGAGGAACTTCCTGACTATAAGGGTGGAACCAACCACCTGGAGAAATTGTGGAATCTCCACCCTTGTAAATTTTCAAAAGCAGGTTAGGCAGACACTTGGTTGGGATGGTTTAGTCAGGGATTATCTTGCCTTGTGCAGGTGGCTGAACTAAATGACCTTGTGATGTCCTTTCCAGCCCTGCTTTCCTATGTTATGAATTAGGCTAAATTAAAAATGAAATTTATAAAATATAATCATCTGCTTTGATATCTTCACTAGCTAGGCTGAGACGTTCACCATGCAGAAAACTTGTCAATAATAATAATAGTAGAAGTAGCTTTTTTCCAGTTAGCTAGAGTTTTACATATTTTTTTTTTAAATACACTACAAAGATGAGAGTAAGGATCATTTCTTCATTCGTAAAACAGGCCTAACTGAAGGACAGGTAGATGAAGAGCCCATACAAAGTTCCACTGTGTGTTGGAAACAGAACGTGGCGTTAGCTGTTTTAGAGCACTGTGGGTCAGTTTGCTAGAGGTCATGCAGTATCCAGGCTCCCCACAGCTGGGGCTAGTACAAGGGGCATTGTGCTGGCTACGTCACAGCCATGATGGAATCATATCAGAGCAAAGTGAATGCTGCTTTTGTATTTATGTTAGCAAAACTTCTCTTGTTCAGTATCTCACAGACACGATAAATAATGGCCTGCTTTGGCAAAACAACTTGTAACAAGATGCATGGCTCGGGTGGGTGGGAGCCCAGCTGCAAGGAGATAGAGCAAGGGTCAGCAACGTTTTTGGCAGAGTGCCAAAAACACCTGCAGCTTTGACTCATAAGACATTGGCATGCCAAGGGTGGGTGGCAGGGGAACCTTGAGGGGCCCAATCTCTGTTGTAGCAGCACAACCCTGTCTCCTTCCTCAAGATGCACATGCCAAACAAAATGTCTTTGTGTGCCATGGTCTGCAATGTATGCCAGGGGCTACTTACCCCTGGAATATAGAGGATAATAGCCTACCTGCCTAGGAGCACTGAGCCAGCTGATGGGGATGATTGGCTGGCCCTGGAGAAAGTTAAAAGCTCCCAGAGAGATGGCACTGGAGAAGAGGGATGCTGAGAAGAAAGGCAACAGCGCAGCACAATGGTGAAGCCCTTGCCCTGGATAGGAGAAGAAGTGGGGATTTTATTTATTTTTTGTTATATTGTTTAGTCTGAGGTGGGAAAGGGGAAAGGCTGGCTCCTGGGCCAGGCTAGTGGAGGTGCAGCCTGCTATACTACCAAACAGATTAAACTCCACAGAGCTTAACCACCACACTTTCTGCAGCCTCACCAAAATTAGGTGCCAGCACCCTTGTTTGGTAGGTGACATCAGTGTGATATGTATTTACTGTGTGGTACTGGGAACTGGCTGGGAATATGGCATTTGATCATTGTACAACCTCTAATAAGGGGGAGGAAGCAAGTCTTCAACTAGTATAGTTAATGCATCAGGTTAGTACCTGCACCCAGTGAGCTTGGCTTGGTGAGGCATATGCTCCAACCCAATAACATCAGTAGTATTGCTTTCTTGGGAGATGCAGGCAGCATGTGAGGAAGTTCTAGGTTAACTGCAAATGAGAGCACTAACCTCATACGGGAACATAAAAAGATGCAGCTTCTTAACCAAAGAAAAGAAAAATATTTTCCAGACTCTTTTCTTCCATAAACGTCCAGTAAATGTCAGTTCTCCTCTTATGCTCTCTGGTTACCAAAGGCAAAGCCACTTTTGACTTGAGAAAAGTTTCTTCATTGTTGCCATAGGCAGATGTCACTGTTTTACTGTGTTTAGTAAATTATTTCACTTTTCTTTGCAACCATAAGGGATTTGAATTTATTCCGCTTTCCTTCCCGTCCACCCCCTGCCCCTCCCTTAACTAATGAAGCTTGAGAATCTTCCATAAGCTCAGGTTTTAGGCATATACCTTTTAGTTCTTATGCTTTAAATACAGGTTTTAAAGATAAAGGATGCAGAAACAAGCCATGTTTACACTGGTATAATTTGCTCCTTTTTTATACAGGAATGTACATTACACTGGGATCTGGAGCAGACAAACACCCAGACTTCTGGCTACTATTACATTGTCTGACCTTGAGGGTAGTGGGGGTAGATAGAGCTGTGAAGACGTACTTCAGTGTGTAGTTACACCAGGTTTTTTGGTTTTTGCACTTCAGAGTAGAGTGACTTACACTGCCATAAGTCTACACACCATTATCTACTCAACTTCTGCCCTGGTATAATAGCAGATCACACCAGTGCAAATGTGTCGTGTATCCATGCCCAGAGTCCGTCAATCTGGGTCTACCATTGCTGGCTCTTGGTGCCTGTCACCTTGCTGTATACCTTGTCTGGCACTGGATGGCTTCACTCAAATTCAGATTGTATATGAATTTTTTAAGGAATCCCTAATCCCAGGCCCTGGAGGAAGAGATGATAGGATTTCAGTTAAAGGGGAGGGGAGACAAGTAGAGGATTCCAGGAGTTACATGGAGATGATAAAACTACTTAAAGCCTCCATAATGAGCTTGAGGACACATGATTGATTGCAGGATATTAATGACTTCAAGTTTAATTTTGCCTGCCTTTGACTTGTGAGATGTCCTGGCTACTAATGGTCAGCTGTGCTACCTGATGCCATAATAATGTAACACCACACTATCCAGTCTGACTGAAGTAGCTCAATCAGGGCACCTAGCATACCTCCTGCTTTGTGCAGTCATCACAGTTGACCAAGCTGGGAAAGAGTCTTGTTCTGTTGTTTACTACCCTTTCTAATTTTTCTGTCTGCTGAATGAGTTTTCTCTGATGGCTATACTGTGTAATGCCTAGATTGGAAATTCATGGCCCTTGCAGGTTTGATTTATTCCTAACTGTTCTAAATCATCTGCTTACACATGCCCCCCACAGCTTGTTTTGGTGATCTAGGACAGTAGTTTTCAACCTGTGGTCCACAGATTGTCAAAGGGGTCCGCAAAAGATTACTATGATCAGTCAAAGTATGTGAATACACACACGTACAATTCAAAAGGGTCCACACCTCTATTTAAAATTTTTTAGTGGTCTGCAAATGAGAAAAGATTGAAAACCAGTGGGCTAGAAGTTAGAGTTCATGTGGGTCTTTTTATTTTTCATACTTGTAGTTGAGGGGGTGGTATTTTTTGTTTGGTTTTGTTTTTAATTAAGGCTTCATGTTTGTGTCATAGGAAATCACTTTAGTTGCATCTGTGTGATGTATTTCTCTGCTTGCTTGTATTTTGGCCTTGCAAGGCTAGCAGAATGCTTTGGTAACTAGTTAAAAGCTGCTTCAGCAAATATATTCTGCATTCATATCTGCTTGACTGATGTGGCCAATGTTTGAATTGTGCCGATGGTTTTGTTGCAGGAGCGTGTGAATTTAGCAAGGCAGATCGAGAAGATGGAATATTACAACAGTAGAGCAAAGCAGCATAACTCCTGGTTCCAGCAGGCTGCAGAGGCTCTCGAAATCGATCTCGATGATGATGTCCTTATAGGCAAGTAGAGATGATTGTAAGCATGCTTGGCTGGACCCTGTAACTGCCCATCCATGTCTACGACACTTCTTGCCATCTGAGAGGCTGGTGTGGCATAAAAGGAAGATGCTAGTTAGTTTGATGCTAGTTAGTACTGTACATCGCTCTATACTTTGTCAGAGCAATAAAAAACTCTTCTGTAAAGGAGGCAAACAGGGCTAGTGCAGTGGTTCACAATTGCAGAAGATAAGGTAGAGAGAGGCAATGCTTCTGACAAAAAAAAAAGTCAGTAGCAGGGCTTGAGCTAAGGTTTCATGGGCTTCTGACACTCAGCTCAAACTGACACGTTTTCCTGGCATTTCTCAACTGAGCTTTGCCTCTTTGGTAACAGCAGAAGCATGGAGAATCTCTTTGCTGCTTTCCTCATGTGGAAACAAAACCATTCCTCCTTTCCATCGTAGAAAAGACAAAACAAGGTGCATGCATGCCTTGTGGGCTAAGTGAACTGGACAAACGGCCAAACTCCTAGATTCAAACAGCTAAAGATGTCTTTTGTTGCTAGCGATGGCTGAAATGCAGCTTTCAGAACTATTCTTTTGTCAGAATACTGGGATTTTGCTGAAAGAACTATTCTTCAATTATGTCTGCTTTCTGCAGAAAAGTTCATCTTATTTTCAGGTTTTTGATCAAAAGTTGAGGGGTTTTTGTAGGAAAAAAGGGCATTTTCCTCCTAATGCTATGCAGTACTATTTTTTTTTTTCCTTTCACGGGGAGGGAAGAACTTTATATAATTGTTTGGAAAATAACAATAGTTTACTTAAACGTTCACCATTTTAAAGTTTTCAATTTAAAATGCTGTGTTCCACACTCTACAAGAGAGAATTTGGGGATCTTGTTACTTTAATTTGTTTTTGCTTCATGCCATCATCTGAAAGCTTTAAGGGTATGTGTACCTATTTTTGGATATAATTTTGAAAAGCTGTGTGGTGTTCCATCAGTATGGATTGATTTGATAGGCTTTTCTCCCCAAGTCAGTCTGAGGCAATTTCAGAGGACTGTTGGCAGAGTACCTTGTGCTTGAACTGCTTCCTTAGTTTTGTAGTTTGTTTGGATTCACTTAAAATGAAGGTATAGACATCTTTGGAAGATGTACAGACATGACTGATTATTTCCAGACTATCTTGTGAGCAAACACTAATCAGCTCTTTACCCAACCCAGATAGATAATTAGCCCTTTGCTGTCTGTTTTGGCATAATCTAAAAACACTGAAAAAATAAAGCGGACATGCTGTTTTGAAACCTAATGCAGGACTCTCATAGAGTACTTGTAATAATCATCCTGTACCTTGGTAGCTAAATGTTTTAAAGTTAGAGGGTTCTTTATTTCTTCCACAGCTTGCTGCAGAAAACTTAAAATCTCAGTCACCTTCTTTAAAATGATTAAAACATACTTACTCACTGAGCTACCCTGATTGTCTGTAGCTTTGATGTCCCTTTAGTTTAATGGACGTTCTGCTCAGCTAAATGGTACCATTATTTCTTTCTAGTTCAGGTCTCTTATTGGTTTGGGTCTGTCCATCAAAGGTTTTATATGGCCTTCATGACCATAATATTAATGTAGGTCACTGCTCTCTATGTATTTGTCATCTCAATGCCCCCAGGAGATGGGAAAGGACTTGTGGAATGGGAAGCAAAGCCCATGAAGGCTATGAGATTTGCCCACGGTTGTATAGGAAACCTGTGACTGAGGAGGCAATTGAACTCAGGGCTCCCAAGTCCAAGGCAGGTACCTTCCTGTAACAGAGCACAAGTCATGCTCTGTTACTCACAGGAGCATTGACAAGCAGCAGAGCAGCCTGCAGGTGGCTAAACTCCCAATCAGGCACAACTGCCTGATTGGGAACAGGGCCCAACTGTTTAGGATAGAAGCAGGCCCTGAGCTAGCAGCCAAGGGGAGAACATCACCCGGCTGGAGCTGCTGCTCATGTAACATCTTGGAGGTTTAGGGCAGGAACTGTGGGGATGGCTGGAGGTTCCTGGTGGGGCATGACCTAAAACTACACCCTGCTGGGGTTGCATGGTGTGGCGGGGCAGTCTAGGAAATTACACACTTGGGCCTCCCCAGTGAAGGGCGAGTATGGGACACCAGAAAGCTTCAGCCCCCGCTGCCTTGTGGGTTACCCCGTGGAGGGAAAGGCTACAGGAGCACACCCTGAAGACAAAGCAAGGGCCCAGGTTACTGCATGGAGCCTGAGGCAAGGTCCTGGTCAGGTAAAGAGGCCAGAGACAATCCAGGTGCACAGTGAGGCCTGAAGCACATAAAAGGAGCCAGGTGTGAGGCTCCAGTGGGGTGGGATTGAGGCCCAGTGTCAGGCAGGGGATTGAGGCCCCAGTGTGGGGGCATGAGGGGACCAAGAGGTCCCAAGCCAGGCAGGGAGCCTGAAGAAGAGGGTAGGACTGGGAGCCCCAAGTGAGTGAGATTGAGAGCCCAGTGTGAGGGCATGGGAGTGCGAGTCCCAACATGAGGGACTGGAGTACAAGTCCCAGTGTGAAGACACTGGATTATAGGCCAGGTGTTAGGCCATGGATGCCATCTGCAAGGCATGGGACATGGTATAAGGGAAGGTTCAGAGCCATGTATATAGGCCCTTGGCATCAGGGCAAGTAAATGGGCAGCCTCCTACCTCATTAACATCTTTAAATTAGTATCATTGAAGGTGTGACAGGCGAGGTAGGCGGGTGGTTAGCCCCGAGACAAGTGTGTGGACCAACTACTCAACCAGCCCCGGGATGCCCACTTGTTACGCTTACCCACTGAGCCACCCTGATTCTGTTCTGTTATTGAGAAGCCAGTGGAAAACAGTTCAGCAATCAGGAATGTCCTCAATTTTATTTTATTGATGGTACCCAGAATTGAAAGAAGGCTTGACCATCCAGAACCATGCATCTTTGGAAAGTGCCTTGTGAGTCAGGGTTGCTCAGAAGGGTAGAGATATAATCAGGGTATTTTATGACTGTGGTATCTAAAGATATAGTATATTACTTAACTGTTGCAATAAAAGCTCTCATAGAATTGTAGAAAATTAAGGTTGGAAGGTTCTGTGATGTATTTTGTAAATCCTTGGTTTCTGTCTGAAGGGGGAAGATCTAGTGAACAAGAAGAGAGTAAGCAGCAGAAGATGCTGAAAGGAATGAAAAAACATCTGAAACATCTGCTATCTCAACCACTGTTTAAAATCCTTATGAAGACCAAATATCCAACACAGTCTGGAAAGCTACTTCTCCCTCGGTCACCAGTGAGCAGTTCGGAATCTGCTTTGAGCACTGTATCAAAACAACAAGCCAAGAGGAAGAAAAAGAAAGGGCTGATTACAGATGAATTGGAGAAATGATTTTTTAAGACAGTTAAGAGTGGGAGAGAAAGGGATGGATCTCATGCCTATTAGTGACTGTGTTTAAACGGTCCTGGTGGAGATTGGGCAACAAAATATTTGGCACTAAGTGGATGGAAGTTCTAGCCAAATAACTTCTAAGTATTTCAGATTGTAAGATAGTGCAAGACATGCTTGAAAATTGAGCTAAAGACAGTTGTTAACATGAGAACTGTAATTTACTGATTCGTTATGAATGTCAGAACTCCTGTTTTTTCTAATTTTATTGACCTTTTATTCTAAAGTTTATAATGAAATATATTTTTGGAAAATGTTATGAACAGGAATTTGTTTATATGATGGGTAAAGTTACTAGGCTGAATTAATTCCAGTTGCAGGTCCAGTAATTACAGTGAATCTGGACCTTTTAAATTTTCCAAGAGCAGGTAGACAGTGGAAGCGTGCATGTGGCTGAGCTGTGGATTTCTATCCACTGCTAACTTGATGCTAGTGTACAGTTTGGCTTCTGCAGGTACCAGTTCAACAAGATGAGATAAACAGAGTAGTGTTACCAGTGAGCCTCCAGCTCTGGTTAAGGGAAGATTCTCCTCTCCAAAGAAAGAGCCTTTCTGTAGCAGTTTAATTTTTCAGCGCTCTCTCCGGCCCCGCCCCGCCCTTGGGTGTGTAATTTCATTTGTCCCTTGCTGATGTGTGTTTATGTAACGTGCAACAAAGTCAAGATTACAATGGGCTGGAACTGACCTTGGAAGAATACTAATCAAGACACGTTTCTTAGGGGAAATGTTGAGATGCTGTATTTTATTTTTGTTCAGACTTAGCATCACTTAACTTTCAAGCTTTCATGGCCCCTGTTTTTGTGAAAAAGTGCATGTATGCTATAAAATACATGTATGGCATAGTAAAATTTAAGATTGACATTTTATCATTTTTTACCCAAGTGAAAATAATTCTTTAAATATCTTAAAGATCTCAGATCAGAAAGTGTGTTTTAATTAAAGTACATAATATATATCTTAGCAAGAAACACTTGTAGACCTGTGTGTGTTCTTACTCCCTTCACAATCCAGGTTCTTACGTGACTAGCTGATGTCTCCTAAGATTAGCAGAAAAGAGTTTGTAAGGAGGAAGAATTTAAAGAAATTAAAAGTTTGAGAGTGCCTGAGAGAGATGTTTTTGCTGGGAAATCAGGACTATGTTGTAATAGAAACAGTTTGCCCTGAGTAAAGGAGCTGTGTTGGCTCTACAGCCTCAGGAGCAGCCTAGAGAACAAATCTGACTTGCAATTACTCCCCTCTTCCTCTGAAGAAGGAAAAATGTACTTCACCCCTTGCTTGGAGGACTAATTCACACTCAGGCGGAGCCCCACATCGCTCCTCCCCAGATCCACGCACCAGGATCAGACCCTCACACTGCTGCTTCCTGGTCCCACACCAGGATTGGATCCTGCACAAGCCCCTCCTAGCCTCGTATTCTTGGATTTGGCCCTGCACTGCCCATGGCCAACCCCATGCACTGGGATTGGGCCCTGCACAACCAGTCTAGCAGGCAGGGCCATACTCTCTGGCCCACAGGGTTTCTCATAGGTCCAAAATTTGGCAGCACAGGAATGACAATGCTACCAGTCCCCTGCCACCAAATTTTTGGACCTGTGTGGAACCTTGCGGGCCAGATGACATGGATCCAGGGACTGGATCTGGCCTGTGGGCTGGTGGTTGAGCACCGCTGGAATAAAAGGATGCTGTGGGAGAAAACAAAGTGTTACATATGGGAGTTGGAGAAGATGACTGACATCTTTGAAATTCACTCTGCCCAGCCTAAAACTGGGTGCTGGCATTGGCTGGAAAGAGCCTTGTAAGTAGGACTCCTAAAAAACAACCCCCCCCCCCAAACTGAACAACACTGCTTGTGTCCTCGTGCCCCTTCGTCTGGAACGTTCAGGTCACATTCTTCAATGGAAGGAAAACTGCACCTGATTTCATAGTTGTTAGGGTCAGAAGGGACCTGAGCAGATCATCAAG